TATTTTGGAATTTCTCGATCTATCTTTAGTCCTATGCAATAAAAAAAATGTTAACCTGGAAGGTGTTGGACAGGTGAAAATAACTTATTATTATTTCTCTAATAATTGATATCATCCAACCAGAAAGTCTGGAGTTATTCAAACATATTAGAGATTTGAATAAAAGGTCTAGAAACGAAATAATGTTTTATCAAAACCAATTAGATATGCATAAAATATATATATATTCCTGACTTGATAAAACACGGAAGCGAAGAATTTTTTTTCGGACTTAGCATATTCAAAATAGATTGCAAAACCATGCTAGACCAAAAAATATCACTAATTTAGTTTGTTAGTAACTCAATTTAAGTAATTTTGAAAAAATCATTGAGGTACTTTGTTTACTTGTATAAATAGATAATTTGTTTCTGTTTACTTCTTAACGTTTTAGCTCACCTGAATCGAAGGCTCAAGTGAACTTTTCTTATCATAGAGTGTCCGACGTACGTCTGTCGTCCTTCTTCTGTCGTCCGTCGTCTGTAAACTTTCTGCATTCTCGACTTCTGTCCAAGAACCGCCGGGCCAATTTCAACTAAACTTGCCACAAAGCATTCTGGGTAATGGGGATTCACATTTGTTCACAGGAAGTGCCACGACAATTTTCAACTGGAGATAACAAAGAATTCGTGGAAATTTGGTGGCATCTTTTAAAGTCGTATTCTCAAGAACCACTGGGCAAGAAAATGTGTAACGTATGTGAACGCTTCGATACATACACTAGATTCAAGTCATACATGTACATGTAACACCGGGGGGGGGGGGGGGTAAGGTTGGACCACAAGAGGGGGTCGAAGTTTTATATGAGAATATATAGTTAATGTCTTTAAAAAATCTTCTCGAGAGCAGCAAAGCCATGATTAGTCATATTAATACAGAAGTATCCTCAGGTAGTGTAGATTCAAGTTTGCTCATGTCATGACCCCGGGGTTAGGGTTGAGCCAAAAACAGTGAGTCAAAGATTTAAGTAGGACTATGTAGGTGTAATGGTTAAGGGACATTTGATTAAAATGCATTGAAGACGTCAAATAGTGGAATGACATAACAACCCTTGGAATGGACTAGTCAAGGGTATATAAGGCAAAGTCAGATGTTCAGAAACTAGCTGAAGAAGTTGGACGTTGAATCACAATAAAGAACGTTACGTGTAAGTTACGTGTAAGAGCAAAATAAAAGTATAAAAAGTTATAAGCCAGTGGCAAGTATCCTAGGGAATTTATATTAAGCTCTGAGTAAATCTGGTGAAGATTGAGACACCCGGTTCGTATCTACCAATGGATAACTAAGGGAGAAACAAAGTGCTAGAAGTATCTTACCCAGTCCCCGTTTCTAGATAAGAGAAAATGAAAATATGTGATTGACTCTGAGATAGAGCTATCTTAATAATCATTCCAATCATTAACTCACGCAGAGTTAAAAGAAAACCTATATATCCCTTTTAAGAACCTGGCCATACACGTAACATAGGAAATATCTTTAAGAACAACTAAGCTTTTATTAGTCATATTTATACAGAAACAACCTTTGGTATTGTAGAATCAAGCTTGTTCAAATCATGACCCCCAAGGGTTGGGGGCAGAACAGAGGGTCAAAGTTTTGCATAAAAATATATAGGAATTATCTGGAAAAAATCTGCTCAAGAACAGAAAAGCCATGATTAATCATTTTATTATAGAAGCATCCTCAGGTAGTGTAGATTAAAATTTGTTTAAATTTAGGTTGGGAAGGGAGGGGTCACAATGAGCAATCAGAGTTCTACATATGAATACATAGGGGAAAAATGTTTAAAATTCTTCTGCTTAAGAAGAGCAGAGCCAAGATTAGTAATGTTGATATGGAAGCATCCTGAGGCAGTGTAAATATTAAGTTCGCCCCCCCCCCCCCTTCATTTTAATACAGAACTGATTTCTGTTTCTTCCTAGCCAATGTGCTCAGGTGAGCCCATGTTGTGGCCCATGGGCCTCTTGCTCCTGTCTTGTTTGAGCGAATCTGGATGCTACCATCACTTGTGACACTAAATCAATGTAATTTTTTAAAGGGATGTTACTCTAATCTAAAAGAAAAAAAAATCTCTATGGAACGTGGTCTTCGTATTGAAAATTTTAAATATCGAAATATAAGCGCAAAGCGTCGGTCATATTGTATTTACGTAATTATGTACCTGAGTGTGTATAATCACACCTTTCTCTATAATCCCAATTAAACTGATATTATATTTAATAACTCGAAATGTGAACTAAATATATATATTGATAACTTGATTTTTTTTTCAATTTGTGACCAACTTAGAGGTTTAAACCATTAAGCAGGTGGTGCACAGGAGGCATCATGTTTATAATTTTGGGAAAGGCCGGATTGAGTATTCATTGTTAACAGGCAAACGATTTCCTTTAACATGATTATCGTAACAAAAATTGCATTAAAATAAAAATGTAACATAATTTGGTGTGTTTGCACTATTCGGCTGAGAGAGATAACAGATGCGAAGCTCTGAAGATAAAAATAAACATAGATGCTGGCCACTAGGGTTTGACGTTTTCACCTGGACGGTTCCAAGAAAATGATGCATTGGAATGCGGTTGGTAATACTTGTTTATCAAAAGATGTATTTGGTTAGGAGGAAGGAGCAACCAATAGTATTGAAGTGACCAGAGGTCAGTTGTTGGTATGAATTAGCTACAACAACTAATATTTATCGATTATGCAAAAGATAGGAAAGGATTTTTAGAGTGCATTAGGAAATTAAAGAGTGTTGGAAGACAGAATAATAGTAATTAAAATTCAAATTAAAATTAAGAGTCATTATTGCAAATTTTGAAGGAATAACAAATATGGGGACGTATGACTTCAGGCATAAAACAGGCGGCCGGGATAGAGACAATTTCAGTGGAAAGCTGAATTGTGACTGTCTTGGTTGCATTTTGTACAGGTGAGATAGTTTTGTAGACTTGCGTGCGTTTTTGTCAAATTGTTAAATTTTCACATGGCTTATTTTATTTGCAGGTTAAAATATTTAATATTATAAGTAGTAATATTTATAACAATGTTTAGTATAGTGTGTGAAATTATTCATTGTAATTAGAAATATTAAAATGGATTGTGTAATTCAATAAACAGTGGAAAGCTGAACTGTGACTGTCTTGGTTGCATTTTGTACAGGTTGGGTAACATCTCCACCCCCCAACACCTGTGAGCTGCTGTGGTCAGGAAAGGTCCTCATTTATGGAAGGTGGAATTTGACTAGCCAAGCGTCCTTTAGCAAAAATAAAAAGTTGACTTGGGTCACACCGACCAAGCTCAAGGATTTAAAGAGTTGTTATGTTTGTTGTTTCCCCTCACTTGTATAGCCAAAGATCCCGGGTTATACAAACAAAATGCATGATCGGCCCAATGTCATTTGGGACTCTGCCTCCTCAAACTTCAATGGTTGAGGTGTAGGGAAACAAAACAATTAGGCTGGAGTCCGGAATGAGGTTGACCCGGTTATGATATGATTAACAATTAGTAAAAGCAGAAGACGGAGTGTTCATTATAAATAACAAACAATTTATCTGCTAGATATCAATGAAGAAAGGAAGAAAATCAGTTTTGATATCATTTACAATTTACTAACATCTTTTAGGATATCTTTCTCATGAAGGGCGAATATACTAAACAGTATCAAGTCGAATTTTGAGTTTCTTGAAAAGGGTTCCAGAAAGGTAATGACCTTACACAAGACACTTAAAATATTATAACTAAATCTAAAAAAAATAAATTTAAAATAATTTTTAAAAAATGAGATCAAATAAAGAAGACCTGCCATACAAAAAGAAAAAAAAAATATTTGAAAGGCCGTCATGCAGGAATAGTATCTATGTAAGGAATGAAGCTTATTTCAACCTATGTTATACGATATAACATAACTTGGGGCAGTTTACGCTTTATAAACCGCGAAGCAGTTAATAAAAAAGCGTTAATTATCCCAAGTTATGTTATACATGTATCGTATAACATAGGTTAAAATAAGCTTCATTCCTTATAATTTAATTTCAGTGTAGACAATAAGACAATTTTTCCTCCAAGAATGGCTTCAAATTGAGCATATTTTAAAAGTAACGTCAAGCGGAGTAATATGTTTTTGACGTAACTCATTGTGATGTAGGCAACTTATGTTAAACGATATAAACGAAATCTTTTATGCAATCAAATAACATGTTACAACTCAAATTAAAATATTCCAAAATGTTATTCAAGTCCTTATTCAGTACACTTCTTATTGCATAAAGGCTTTTTCTAGTTAAAGCAAAAAAAAAAAAAAAAAAAACAAACAAACAAACAAACAAACAAACAAAACAAAACAAAACCAAAAAAAAAAAAACCAAACAAACAAACAAACAAACAAAACTTTTGAGTTCTACAAATTTAAATAATTTTGTTACACGTTTAATTTGATCGAAAGTAAGGAACAGTGGTTATTCTTAAAAGTTCACTATAGTTTTATTTTGCAATAATTATTGTCAGGCTTCGAATATAAGATTAATAAATCTTTTATAATGCAATTTGGCCATTAGGAACTGAATCCATCAATGAGATGAAAATAATCATATATTCTTTAATGCATTCGTATATGTATTATTTTTCAGGACGTTTTAAAAAAATAAAATATTTTAAATTGCACATGTATTTTGCATGTTTTTTTTCCTAATCTCTATTTAATTGCTAAAAGGGCAATCAAATGAGATGTGTCCTTCTTCATAATGAACATGAGTACTTTTAAATGTTATTCTACAAGATATATTGCATTAAAAAATAACATTCTATGCATTATGTATAATTTCTTAATATTTAGTTACCTTAGACTTTGTTCTCATGGGTAAATTTATCTGCATCTTCTTAAAATAACTCTCATCAAAATGTTTTACCAAAACAATGTCTTTTTTGTTTCCAGAGTAAGTACAACTGTGTATATCTGTATCACTTGGTATATATGCCACTGATAATTTGGTAGATCCAGTCAACATGTAAGAATAATGAAGACACTGGATATCGTTAGATCGTGGAAGCTCCTCGCTTATCAAGTAAGAACATAAATAGATTTTCACGCTGTCAACAGGTTTGAGGCTCCCGAGATACAAGAAAGGTCTGATAGTTGAAACTAGTACAGTTGTTTTCTTTTGAACCAATCCTTGAAAATGAATTTGTAGTATACAATTATGTTTTGAAAAATATTGATTTCTTGTTTCAACTTCGATCTAAAACATTGAAGTAGTAAGGAGAAAACCAATGTATTAATTTTTAAAATAATTTTTATGAATAATTTCATGAAATAAGAACTCAAGAGCGATATTTTTTTTGAAAACTAAAATCTTAAATTCCTTTTTTTCAAAATACACAGATTTTACTTTTAAATTTAAACAATAGGTAGCGTTTTAATGGTTAATTGAAAGAACCAGTATATATCAGTCAATTTAAGATTTTATTTATATCGGAAGTAATGTCTAGGCATGCATGAATAGCGAGCAGAAAAAAAAACGCTATAGAAAAAGACATGTACTCATGCATCATAACATAATGTCAGATGATTTTAATGACAGTATAAAGAAGATGGGCGAACAAGGCGAGCGAAGTGCCTATAGTGCGACAAAAATGAAGACGAAAATTAATCTCAATTATAACTAAAATTTCTTTGATATTTCATCTAACATTTAAGAATACCTTACGTAAAATCTCCACAATTATTTGCCTATGAAATAGCATACACACACTAAAGAGGACAAAAAGGATCATTTTCTCAAAATGTAAAACAGTTTTTCGATATGAGCGGGTCTTTGCTCCATTTTTTTTTTAAAGTTTATCCTCAAAGTTTGCCCAAATATAAACATTTATTGGTTAACAAAAACATGGAGCAAAGACCTACTTAACCTTAAAAATACACTTTTATGACACAACATTCGCATATTTCAGAGAAATACTTGGTCCATTTAGTCAAGGGTCATATAACAAACATGATTTAAATGCTACTATTCTTCAGGAGCTATGTAGCGTAGTGGTTAGCGCGTTAGTCTCAAAGGAGAACGATACTAAGGATTTCTATTGCTAGGGTTCGAACCCCACAAATACCACATAATTTTTTAACTCAAAAATTTTTGTTTATCATAATTTCATAAATTTCAATAATGAGAATTTTACTTTAAATACTAAATTCACGAATTGAATAAGATTTTTACATATATGGAACTATAGGCATTCTGCATGCCTTCTTCACCCATCTCCTTTGTAGTACATTGCAAATACAGTGTACCTCTTTTCCTCAGGTAGTCTGTAGCTGTACGGTACGCACTGGCCCTTTGAAATGGATGATCACTGAGGACTCGTATTGGAAGTGATAAACTGGTATAATTATCTGTGTAGAATATGGCGTCTGTATAATAAGATATTTGATCAAATCAATTCTTTTTTTTCAAATAATGCTTTAGATTCTACTTCATCAACAGAATTAATGGTCTTTTACCAAGCATATGTTATCTTCTAATAATATCTGAAAGACTTAAAACCGTTTTGCAACTTCTCTGTTGATAAAATTCAGAATCTTTACCTTCAATTGTACTTATATTTTGACTATCCTTTGGAGCAAGTCTTATCCATGGTACCCATACGACACGTTTACGAAGTGGGAAATCGTAGGTAAACCATGGGATGCATTGAGAAATATTAGTCCTTGACGAACATTTATGATATTGTTCTAATGGATTGAAACTTTTCCAACTACACAAACCTTTCTCAAAGTCGCAGTCAGCTGAAAAACAAGACAAGGCACGTGCACATGTGTTTTGTGTGGGAAGTGATATTTGAAAATTTTAAAGATGGATTTCTCGCATTGTAAAATAGAAACTGCTCTCTCTCTCTCTCTCTCTCTCTCTCTCTCTCTCTCTCTCTCTCATTGTAGTAGTGACCAATCATGTCAAACCTCGATTTAAGTAGAGGAAAGAAATGACAAGAATCTTTACTTTGTTTTTAGAGTTATTATTTTCATTATTTATTATTAACTAAATTATATGAGGATTCTTCAATCATAACCTGTTAAATCGTATCTGGGTGATTACTCAATTAGAGTATAGACAAATTGGTTTAAGGTCAGACGATACGCTCCTCGAATATGTGTTTTGTATCTCTTCTTCATATAGAAAAGATATAATTATCAATAAGTATCTTCACCTTGTGATTTCAACACTGTTTTAAATTTGCTTTTAAATAGAAATACGCCAAAATTATATTATTGGATATTCCAGTGAATTTCTATAGGATTATATATATGAAACACCATCCTCTGGTATCTTGCACAAATGTCCGGTAAGGTACAACAATTTTTGTGAGTAAAACTTTTTAAAGTAACAATATTTTAATGATAAATTCTTGGGGAAAATAATATATTACTTAGGAAATGATACACAAATGCACTACATGTGATAATGTATTATGACATGAAAGTCTTTTTCCTCCTATATTTTTTCTTTGTTTGTTTGTTTCTCGTTTTATGTCCCTCTCGAGAATTTTTTATTCATATGGAGACACCATGATTTGGCGGTGGAGGGCTGCAAATTTATATCTGTACTCGGCACTCGGGGTCATTGAGCAGTGAATGAACTTTTTCGTGCCAGCACCTACTGGGACACGGGACCTCGGTTTATACGTCTCATCCGAAGGACCGGCCTCCACGTCCCGTATTCTATCTTTGATTGTGTATTATAATTTTGTTAACAAGTCAGAAATAACTGTGGCATAGGAATTGTGAATATTTCAATTGCATTTACATTAATATCAATGATCTCAGTTAGGAGAAAGCTCCGCCCATTAAATTAATAAATCCCAACCACTTGGACTGCTAGGATTGCTTTTTGGGACCTTTCTGACTGCTGGGACCACAATGAACTGCTCTGACACTGCTGTAGGACAACTCTGGGACAGTTGTTGGACTTCATTCGAACTGCTAAGCAGTTCCAGAGCAGTCCTGGAAAATAGTCCCTGGAATTGTTGTGGGACTGCTTTCTGTCATCTTGGTTCGGTTTTACTGTAAAAATTGATCTCCTCTTGTGGCCCCTTCTTATCCACGGAGATACTGATTTGAACAAATTTGAATATACATATGTCAGGAACCTTCGCGAAATTTTTATCTTTTCTTAAATAGCAAAACAATCAAAATAATAATAATGATCACTAGAAAATCTACTATTGCAAGCTGTAGCGTATTTCACCCGAACTGAACCATAAGCTATAAGATTCTTCAAATCTTAAAGAAGTGAGTATTCATAGCCCCACCCCCCTAAAAAAAACACCTCCTACCTATACGTTTGGTAGCTTTGGTCGAACCAAAGTTACGGGAAGCAAATGTAGAGCAAGGTTTACGTCAGCATATGGTTGAAGCAAAATAGTTCCTGAATTTTCCTCTTTAAATCGGGCATTTCTGCATTGGACGGGGTCAAATATTTTTTTAATGACATTATAAAGTATGTGTATACTTTCTTAGTTTAAAGGAACCATGAACACTTCCGGCCTGCTAATCTTTTAGGCTCAGTATTGATGAGGTTTTCACGGAAAAGCGGGAGCGGATCACAGGATTTTCAATAAATAAAAACGATGAAAATTAAATCTAAATAATTCTTATCATTGAATGAAATTATTCATATTCAAGTAATACATTCACCAGAAAACGCAAAATGCTACTGAATACAGCTGGCAATCGCTATTTTGTTTTTTAAAGATAAATTTATTTTAAATATAATAATTATAATTTCTATAGGCAAAACAGATGAAAAATGAATGCTGGCAAAATATCAGATCACATCAATGGAACTTGATTTTATTAATGAAACTCATATCTTCCTTTCAATGGTAAATCTTATATCTTGTATATCTACCTCTACCTCGCTATTCTAGGGGGTGGGGGTTGTGGCCTTGAGAAGAGACTTGTTAATTAACCAACATATACATGTTGTAGTAAGTATGAAGCCATAAAATTTTGAAAACTTTAGGATGAAGAAGTTTTTTTGTGGTATGAAGTTCAAGATCATTTTATTTATAATCTGACATAAAACAAAACTTGCTTTCCTTACAATTCAGAGAGAGATGGGGGTGGAGGGGTGGTAAAGTATTACATTGTCTTTATTTAAAAAAGATAAATAAAACTGCGCTCACAACATATAAACAATCCTTTTTATTTACGAAAAACTCATTGCTATGGAAATAAGAAGTTTGTCCGTCTCTTCTCCATTACAAGAGAAGTTTTACTTTTACACTATGTACTTGTGTGTATTTATCAAGTAGCGTCCCCGTAAACTACAAAAATGAAAATAGAATAGTTTTAAGTGTTTAAGAAACGTTGGTCCTATGTTTTTTGGAAATGCTAAGATATTTGATTTCTTCTTAATCCTATCAAGAAACCGGTAATATAGAAAAGCTTTCATAGGAGAGCCTTTACGTACTCTAGGATTATTACAGAAAAAAAAAAAGAAATTAGGAAGAAAAATAAATTGAATATTATTCACTTCTTAAAAAAAAACTGAGTTATAAACGTTTACATGACTTTTTTTTTTTTTTTTTTTTTTTTTTTGCCAGTTGTTTCAAGAAACTGCAAATACAAATAGTTCAATTTGTATATGAACAACACCACATAATTTTTCAAGATATTCTTAATTTAAGATTATAGTGCCATCAGATGTTCGTAGACAAAAAATCAGCATGCTTTACCAGGGGTTTTGAAAAGATATCAATTGATGAAAATTCTTGTATAATTCAAAGAAAAATATACAAAAAGGAGATGGGCGAACATAACGTGCAGAAAGCCTATAGCTTCAGAAATATAAAAATCATGTTCAGTTTGTGAATTTAATATTTAGAGTAAAGTTCTCATTATTGAAATTTATGAAATTGTGATAAACAAAACTTCTCTGAGGATAATTTTCTCGGAATTTTTTTTTCTTTTATTAAAAAAATTAATGTGGTATTCGTGGGGTTCGAACCCTAGCAATAAAAATCCTGAGTATCATTTTTTTTTTCGAGACTATCACGCTAACCACTAGACCTCACAAGTCCTGACAAACAGTGGCATTTAAATCATGTTTGTGATATGACCCTTGACTTAATGGACTTCAAGTATTTCTCGAAAAGATGCGAATGTTATGTCATAAAAGTATATTTTTTAAGGTATAGTGGGTCATTGCTCCATATTTTTGGTAACCGAAAAATGTATATTTTTATGTAAACTTTGAGAATTAACTTTCAAAAAGGTGGAGCGAAGACCCACTCATATCGAAAAATAGTGTTATAGTATGCGAAAATGAATCTTTTTGCCCGCTTTAGTGTATGTCTAATATTTCACAGGCAAATAATTTCAATCTTTGAGGGATTGTTGCAAATTGTAGAGATCTTACATAAAGTATATTTTAATGTTAGAGGAAATATCAAGGAAAATTTTGATAATATTGAAATTTAATTTTTCATCTTCATGTTTGTCACACTATAGGCTTATCGCTCGTCATGTTCACCCATCTCCTTACTACACATATATTCTAGATGTTTTGTTTATCCAAACTTGTTTTAGAAGAAGTGTTCAATAGCATATATGCACATTAAAATGTTGCACGCAGTTCCTTTAAGTATTGGAACTCTTCAACTCCAGGGAAAAAGACAATAAAGTTCAAACTACGTTGCGTATGTCCTTAAATTATTTTTTCTATTCTGATGGCAACGTTGGTGAAAACTTTCAATGAAATTAGCAAAACTACGAATAGCGTTATTAATTACGATTATTGTTTCTGGAAAGGTTTCAGAAAGATTGTCAAAGCCTTTTACGAGAACATTCAAGGACAAAATCAAGTGTGGAAACATCGCAAAATAGATAACTCGACTGCAGCTTTTTAAGGGGGCCGACTGGGGTTTTCATTGCGCAACACTTCGCGCAGCATAGTAAAATAAAGCGTATTTACTTTTTTAAAGCAACTATTTTTACTTAATTTATAAATATTAATAAATTTAGTCAATCTAAGGTTAAAAAATCTAATTACGTTTATAAATAACTGATTTTTTAAACGATTTTTCAAATGATGGGTAGATAGACGTCGTAATGGCGTGTTTTTGACGTTATGAATAACCGAAGTTCTTTAAGTGGGGTCATTAATTATATCATAAAATAAAAGGTATAAAATAGATGCTCTTGAAATTTAAAATATAGGAAATTGAGAATCTCACAATCATTTTTTATTATTTCTTATGTCAATCTGTGGTATCTATCATGTTTTGTTGTACTCCATAAAAACAGGAAAATATCATTTTTTGACATTTTGAGATGCCCCCTCTGGAAACCAGACGGTAGAATTTTGTGTTTCTTGCATAAAATG